TGAGTGCACTTTTCCACTCGTTTATCTGCACTTTTTACTTATACCACAGTTGGGAATCATCTAGAATTCTCAGAATCATGGTGGTAGCACCGAATGAGAGAGATATGGCAATGAGCGCAGTGAGACATCCACGTCCTAGACGAGATTTGAACCTAGTCGCAGCAATCGCTGGGTGTCACACCGCACAGTCACGCAATCGACACTCGAAACTGCCCGCGGTGATCTGACATTACGTTCTCAAAATATTTCCTGAAACGCTTATGTACGTATCAAATTTCCCGTTTCCATGCTACGAACATAACTTCTTGGTCAATAACACTAGTTATTCTTTTTGTTCTGAATGGCTCTGTGTTTAACAATTCCAATGTACGAAGTATAATACTTATATGATTCTTGCTGTTTTATTATCGGACGTTACGTACTTAAGATACCATTGATACTGTAGGACATAAAAATTAAAAAATATATTCTTATTAACACAGCTCAGTATATAAATTGTTGACGAAAATAATAATGTTTGTGTTTATTTTAGTTTACTTTGTCTGGTATCTTTATACGTATTACAACCACAACGTTTCGAAAATAAGTTCTGTTTCCGTCTTAAGGTGATTATTAGAATCCATTTCCGAAATGTTTGGATATAATACATAAAAGATGATGAACAAAATCCAAATGATAAATAATAAAACTCTTGTGTCACACCATTACCCATAAACAATAATAATTACGGAACTGGAGAGAATATTTGGAAATTATAAAACTGATCCCGACGTATATATGAGATTCACAGTTCTGGTACCCGCCTGTCTAATTAAATAAAAACCTACACTAACAGCATCATTTACGAAGTGAAACAATTTATTATTATTAAACATATTATTTTTAAAGGAAAGGTACGTCATAATTCCTCCGGTATGTACCAGTAATAAATGATCATGAAGTTTTATGACGTACGTAAAACCTCGAAGAAATCATTTGATTAATACGTTTATTCTAATATGGGATACAGCTATCCGCTCTAGTTTCAACTCGAGTGCTGCCTGTAAAATAGTTTCGGAACATAAAATTAGACCGTTTCTACTCGTCAAAATTGTTCTTTAACTAGTCGCACGTCTGTAATTTCAGCGCTGTGGATTCTAATATTTGTCTTGTGCCTTTCTATTAGGTCCAACAGCTTTTACGTAGCGCCTGCTACCAAACTTGAGACAATTTGCCTTACAGGAGTGTCGGAGAAGTTGCCGCGACATCACGGCGACAACACGCTGTTTGCTTCACTGTTGGTTTTGGCAAGCGTTATCCGGCAATCAAAGGTCATTGGATATCCGTGATTAGAATATATGAATGGTGGCTTCCTATGGCTTGTTACAATCTCTAATTATGTTTTTTTTACGGGTAACGTTGTATAAGCGTCAGATGGGATGGGTGAATGAAAATGGTTTATGAGTATGTGATGGTTTAGAATTGGCTGGTCATTACCTATTTGAAAGTTATATATCCTAGCATTGTAGTGCAGAAATTGAGAAAAACAACGAAAAATTTCTTTCATAATAACCGGTAACCCAGTCCAGATTCTAATCCAGTAGGTATACTTTGTTGGTCGCTGTTGGTGGACATGTCTTCACGTTCCTGGCACATAGATTTCACCTGGTAGTGCGGGTTGCGTGCTTCAGGACCGGGGAGACGAGCACGACCTGGGACTGGTGTCAATTCGTTTCTGCGTTTCGAGATGCACCTCTTCGATCGGGGATCCCCACTGCCGCTCGGAAATTATCAGAAAGCTTCACTGCCTCTCGGGCACTGCATGTTCATAAATGTGCCGTCACAGTGGTCGCTCTCAGTCTTATTTACCCACAGGAAAGAAGCCAATGGAAGCACTATGACAAGGGACCAAAAAGACGGCACGGTCGCTGGAACGTAGGCAATCTAGTACCAGTTGTCCGGTCCTTGGCCAATCACTTTGCGGACTGACGTCAGCTATTCCGGCTGGGGTTCAGTGTATACGTTCAGCTTTCAGTTGTGAGACGTGTCGAATGTTGAGTATTTACCATGGTTTTGATAACTAACCCTACTACACATTCGCTTAGAAAATGGTAACAATAATATTCGGGCTAATACACAACATTCGACGCGGCTCACACCTGAAAGCCGAAGTGATAAATAAGTTTTATTATGGATCTCGATTGCCAGCCAAATTCAGTTCACGTCTTTACAAGGCCTGTTTCAATCGTTAATATTATTAAAAAAATTTACTCCACCCCCAGTATTGTCAGGGTGATTAAGTCGAGAAGAATGAGATGGGCGGGGCATGTAGCGCGCATGGATGGGACAAGAGGTGTGCACCGGGTACTGGTTGGGAAACCTGAAGGGAAGAGACCGCTGGGAGACCTAGACGTAGATGGGAGGATAATCTCAGGCGGGATCTATGGGAGATAGGAGTTGAAGGAGACTGGATTTTGTTGGCCCAGGACAGGGTCCGGTGGAGGACTTTTGTTAGTTCGGTGATGAACCTTCGGGTTCCTTAAGCCATCTAGTTAGTTAGTTAATATTATCAACGCATTTAATATTACTTGTCAAGAAAATTAAATTTCGAGTCGCACAAGATTTTTTTCTAACACGTTGAAATTAATTTACTATTATCACGAACATCCTAAATGACGTAGCTTAATGTCGCCAACATATAAAGCCCGTTATTATGATGATTTGTTTGTTTTTTTGTGGAATGTGACATAAGAACATGGTGGTAGAGTAAAATATGTATTTATCTTTCTGTCTAATGGTAATGATTAATGGTCCATTGTAGCTAGAAACATGTTATTAAGTTGTCTATGGATAAGCATTTGTATGAAACATTTTTAAGTTATGGCGGCAATTCGATATTTTAGGTTATGTCTGAGCTTGACATAGAGGACGTTCTGTAGAAATATATACTACTAATTAGTGTTCAATTTAAGACTAAAGATTGAAAGAAAATAGGCCCATGCATTATTTCAGATTTCTAGTTTTCTGGGAACTTTCGTTTCCAGGCAACCAGGGGCCAGATCGATGTGATGTGTGATTGTGGGGGAGATGCTCGGAGCAAGCGATGCGTCGTTCCCGCGGAAGACAACCAGCTTCCTCGTTCGGCCGCGACTCGGGGGTTCCCTGCGCTCTTATTTGCGACCCCGAGCGCCTCACCCGGGGCACCTCAACGCTGCGGATGTCGGCCGCTCCTATAGGAAGACGAGGGCCAGGTCAGTTTCCAGTTACAATACATGTTTTTTTTAACACTTTTCCATTGTATGAACCACTTCTTCTTCCTTGTACTTACGTAATTTATTTGGCGCGTGACAATATCGATGAAAAGAAACAATTTTTTTCCTATCCCATAACATAAATTTACCGACAAGAAACACAAGCCTGTTCTCCAATAAGACAGGAAATTATTAATCCTATCTGTGATTAGATTTTCAGCACCGAGTTCCTTTCTTTTGTTTTCTATTTTCATATAAACATGTGAGTTTGTCGTCATTATCAGCATTACTGATCTGAGCTACTGTAATGAATTATAACTTCTGGTAGGTAAATGCTATTGTCGAACTGAAGCGAGATAATTGGTATCAGTTTTGGCCATTATACAATTTGGAGAATTATATAGCGTTAATATATTTCAGTGGATTTAAATATTCTAAAATGGACGCGAAGCAGAGTCACATCTTAAAAGAATTGTATGGATCATAATTGTTTTTTTTAATGTGATGCTTGTACGCGGGGAGACATCACATTAACGCACAGTAGTTTATCCTGCTTAGGTCCAAATATTTTCTTTGCGACTTTGATAGCTGTGTTCAGAAATGTTGCGCCGTAGAAATTGACCAAAGTTTCAGAGGTGCTTACAACCCCCATAACCAGGGTGATGGGTGCCGTTTAGTTTCCTTAAGACTACATACCGCAATATCCCAGGAGTCATCTTCATACCCGACACCTTGAGAACCTGAAATCTTTCCGAGTTTGTTTACGTATATTTGAGATAGGCCATGATATTCTTTTTCCTGTGAATCAACTTAGTTGCTTAGGGTTGCATGTTAACGAGATTGGTTGTCTGAAAGAACGTCAGCATAGTGGTACTGCTTCTACAACTCGTATGGTCCACGTAAGATGTTTAAAGAAATTCAGTGGGCCCTCGGCAGTCTACGATGTATGGGGCAAGACTGTACCCTTACATGATGTAATTTAAAGTTTACCAAACAAAACGCGAATGCACCACAATATTCACACACTTCGTATGATAAACTTAACAATAAAATAAATTTAATTACACACGTTTTTCTCCAGCATGTCCAATAACATATGAAATATATCATGGCAATTTTATCTTATATTCTGAGGTTCATAATCCTTTTAGGCTGAAAACCTTCATACTTCATATTATCAAACAACTTTATGAACGAAGGAATATTGTGAAATAATGTTTTTGAGTTACCAAGTTCTATTTCAGAAGAAATCAGACTGACCAACAGGTAGTGTTAATAAACCACGAACTAAGATATTGACAAGACTTTACAAGATATACAGGCCTCATAAACGTATATGTGAAAGAAGAGAAAGTATTGCATATACGTATTACTACACTTTGCTAATGACTGCACAGAAGAAGAAACGGAAGTGCTGCTATAACAACAACAACAACAATAATAATATAAATAAAAAGAAGAAGAATAAGAACTTGCAATTCACAGGGGGAAAATTGCAATTTCGTCATTTGGCTGCCATGATTACGTTCGTGTTCATTTGTTTCGTAATGGCGGGTTTTGCCGGAGTAGTTGTGAATTCCTCAGTTTAGTTTGAAGATTGGGGTTAATTATATTATGATATTTATTTATTTTGAGACCAGTGAAACTTCCGATGACCAATAGTCAAAATTGCTATATTGTACATACCTTGGTATTCTGTTGTTCGTTGCAGGTTGGTGAGTAGAATTGAGTATAAGAATGAAGGATTTGAAGTTTTCACGGCGGCGAGTATGAAGATGGCTGTCTTCTGGGTTGTTGCGCTGTGAAGTCTGGTAGAAGTTTACCGACGTTTCAGTAGTACTGCTACCTCCGTGTCCATTGAAGCGTCGGTAAACTTTACCAGGCTACATAGCGCTATAACCGGAAGATAGCCTTCTTAATGTATTAGAATGGTATGGACGTCGGTTCCAACCATTAACAACCAAGCATGTACAGGATTTAGTTTTAAATTCTTAGTTTTAAAATTGAAAAAGCA